TAGTTTGTCAAAAATAGTCCAGCCTGGGATGGTCTAAGTTTGGTCAGGGTGGTTCATGTCCGCTAGCATGGACCCCAACTGCAGTGAGATGGCTTTCACTATGACTTTGTTGTCTGTGCTGAGGAGCAAAACGGGGAGCCAATTCCTGAGGTCGTGGAAGTCCCTCTTTTTAGGCAGCAGGGTGAGCACAGCCTGCCTGCACTATAGGGAGAGCACCCCACACTCCAAGGACTCAGCCCAGATAGTTGCGAGGTCTGGGCTGAGCACCTCCCAGAATGTGCGGTAGAACTCCAGAGTCAGCTCATTGATGCCTGGAGATTTGTTGGTGGGTATCAGACAGAGGGCCTCCAAGAACTCGGCCAGAGTGAGAGGTTGCTCTAACCAGACCTAGTCCCCTGAGCGGACTGTAGAGAGTTCATCTCACAGGACTCCACAGGCATCGGCATCAGTTGGATCCAGGGAGAAGAAACTGACATAAAAGGCCCTGGCTCTTCCCCACATCTCCATTGACTCTATGAGAGGTGTGCCATCTTCCGCCCGGAGGCTCATGATATGCTTTTTGGGTCCCCTCTTTTTCTCCAGGGCATAGAAGAAGCAGGAGTCACAATCCATTTCCTGAAGGCACTGGATGCAGGATCAAATAAAGGCACCCAGGGCCCTGAGCTTGTCACATTTCTCCTGACACACTTTGAAGAGGGATGGATTCCTGGGGCGAGAGGCCAGGTGCCTCTCCACCTCCAAAACCTCCTGTTCGAACTACTCTATTGCCACATCCCACCTCTGGCTGGCCCCTTGGGTGTAGTCACAGCAGAAGAGCTGGTCACATATCTTCCCCACATCCCACCATTTGTGTGCTGAGAGAATGTGATGCCTCTGGCTCCTCCAGGCCAGCCGGAACTCCTGGAAAGATACTGCAAAGCCCACGTTCTCCAACAGACTGTTAATTGCAATGCCAGTAGGCTGGCCCCAGCTGCTCAGGTGTTAGTGAGGCCATTATGTCCACCAGGTGGTGGTCCAAGAATGGGTCCAGCCTGATGCTGGAGAAATGGGCCCAGCAAGATGTGAAATCAAGAAATGTAAATACGGTCCAACTGGGAGTGTCACAATTGAATGTCCTCCACCCAGACATAAGTGAAAGTGGTGGAGTTGTCCGGGTGGTAGTCTAACCAGGGAGCGATGGTTGACAATCTCCCTGAGAACGTCCGTGGTGGCCTGGCACTTCTCTATCCCGAGGTGGTCCTGTGCTTCCGGGGTAGTGTTAAAATTCATGCCCAGGATCAGGCACTTATGAGGATCCAGAGTGCTGAGGAAGGCAGATGCCTGCTGATAGAACTGCACTGGCTCTGGGCCCATTATGGGGGATAGATGTTAACCAGGAAAAACCTGTGTAGAGGTCAGGAAATTCCATGAGTATACACTTAGTTTCAGATGCATTCTTTCATTGGTGTGGGGAAGCATTGTTTGCACCTCAACCCTTTATGAAAGTAGCAGGGTGTACATCAGAGAGTGGTTAGCTCTTCATCCCTCTCTAGCCCTTCAGCAGCATGACTTTTGCAGATGCTTTAGTACAATTCTGGGACATGGTTAAAAGATGGTTGGGGCTAGTATACCCTACAAGTATCAGAGGGGTAGCCGTGTTAGTCTGGATCTGTAAAAAGCAACAGAGAGTCCTGTGGCACCTTTAAGACTAACAGATGTATTGGAGCATAAGCTTTCATGGGTGAATGCCCACTTCATTGCATCCGACGAAGTGGGCATTCACCCACGAAAGCTTATGCTGCAATACATCTGTTAGTCTTAAAGGTGCCACGGACTCTCTGTTGCTTTATTCCCTACAAGACAGAGTTATATTTTAATCAATTTGCGGATAGTTTATCTGCATTGTAACTCCTCTTACACTATTGATTTTTGTAGTGCAGGTGGGACCTTATCTAAACTGCTCGCTTTAAAAGCAGAATACATTGTTGGAAGAAATTATCAGTAATGAACATTTCATCCTCTTTGTCACAATGTACTGTCCTTTCTATTGACACTAAATTTGTTGTCAAGATGTTGATATTGAAAGCAATGCCATGCATGATTACTTGAAGTTGGTTACTCCTATAAGTCAGGAGTTAGTGGTTTCCTATTTTGGCCAAGTGTAATTGCAGCTTTTCCAAAAGTTACTGACATATTAGTATTGTGCCTGGAGAGAACTCCTGGCCTTTGAGCTAAGGAGTTCAGTTTCCCATTACACAGAGTGATATCAGGCCTGAGATGCTTATGATAGTTTCCAAGAAGTTATCACTCTGATATAAATATATACTGTACTAAAATCCATCAATTTCTTAATATAAGATTTTGAATGTTGGCTTTATTTCTTTAGTTAATAAAAAAATGCTGAAGCATTTATCAGATGTTAGTAGTATCAGACAGAGTTAATGTTTATTAATTAAAATGTTGTTATATAGACCTATGTCCCTGGATTTTGATGGTATATGTTTACTTAATCTTTCAGTAGTGTCAAGTTAGAAGAATCAGTTATACAATATACAGTATCTGCTGTTTCACCCCACTAAACCTTGTTTCAAAAAGGTATCATCATTATACATACGTACATTCAGGAATATAATATGAATTGTGATTCTGTCTTTCACAATCCTATTTTGTGAGTTCTACTAGCAAAAAATAAAACAATTTGCCACCCATTTTACAATTTATGCAGACTTTATGCAACTATTAATTTTGTGATATAAAAGGGATGCATGACCTCTTCTTTCTTACCAGTTCAAAATCATGAAATGTGATGTAGCTTCCTTTTTCTAAACCAATTTTCTGATTGCATTGGCACACCTCTTTGCTTTATAGTGAGCATCTTTTTTTACTCATAGTGTTATGGGGTTATATAGATGAAGCTACCAAAGAAGTAGTGGAAGCTATAGGAGTCAAATACTTTTTTGATAGACTGTACCTACAGAAAGGCTGATTATTGCTGCAGGAATAAAAAGGATGGGCTACATGGATTAAAGGTTCTTTCAGCCTAATTTCCTAAGGATGCTATCTTCCATTAAATGGGCATAAGGGACTAGAAACTTTTTGATTTGTGGAGTTTCTCATCATTCTTCCAAAGTGGGTCAGTAGGACATTGCCTTCCTCCCGCTATGGAAGGAGCAGGGGGAACAGCCCTGAACACTGTGGAGCATGTAGTCTCTCATTTAACCAAAGAAAAAAATGTTCTTGAATAGGAAAAGGATGTCTAGGAATCCAAAACTGGGTGAAAGCCTCTTTCTCCCTTGGGTGGGGGAGGGGGTGAGAGCAACCTTGTCATATGCACTGGTTAGGGTCAGGTGGGGTGAGAGAAGCTGCACTCAGCTGCACAGATCCCCTCTGCTTTAGGGGGAATTAAAAGATAAACTTGTCTACCTGAAGTTTTGTATTATGCAAATATGAATGCATAAGATTTCCTTTCACTGCAAATCTGTTCATGGATGAGGGAGTTTTTGCTTAATTACAATTAGCCTAAACACCAGTGTGTGCTCAGTAGCAAAGCATTTATGTAAAGCTCAATCTATAATGTTATTACTAATGTACTAAAATCTACTCAAGGACACATGTACACCTCAGGCAAAGAGTTTGGGAAACAAAGTTAAATGAGTGGATTGGAGTCTCTGTATTGCTCAAAATACATTAATTTCCGTCCAAATCTAGTCTCTCTCTCTCTCTCTCTCTCTCTCTGACTCGCTGATGCTCACTCAGACAGTCATGCCACAAAGATGTTCAGTAGCCAACTGAAGTGCTACAGCTTTCTCCCTGGTGTCAGATGTGCTATGCTTTATGAAGGTCATAGAGTTCATGCCTGTTACTGGAAAAAATTATGCCAAAGGCAAAATTATAAGGAAATACTCTCCAGTATCAGAGGGGTAGCCGTGTTAGTCTTGATCTGTAAAAGCAGCAAAGAGTCCTGTGGCACCTTATAGACTAATAGACGTATTGGATCATGAGCTTTCATAGGTGAATACCCACTTCGTCGGATGCATGACTCTTTGCTGCTTTTACATTGCTCTCCAGTGTTCCAAGGGAGCAGGGAGAGGAAATTTTGTCACAGTTACACAGTTATTACTCACTTTACTGTGTAATATTGAAGAAAATAGTAACTTCCTGGGAGGCAGCTATTCGTGTTATCACATATCAAGTATTATAAAGTGCATTTATTTTTGTAAAAGAGTTGTAGGCTGTTGAGGTACATTAATCTTCCTAGCTAAGGGCTTTGTCCTGCATGGTTCTGAATGCCTTATGGCCAATTGAATGGAGGGCTCAGCATTGACTGTTAGGATAGAACTAGAGCAGGGCAAGTACTGCAAAAAATGTACTATGACTATTCACTTGAACTTATAAGTGAACATGCTTCAGTTGTGTTCATAACTCCTTTGTATTTGTTTTCCGTCAACTTTCCTGAAAGTGAGCTTTACTAGTATTGATCCTAGGGGAAAGAATTTTAAGGTCAGATGCTCATAGAATGTGAATTTTAAATTTGCTTATCTTTAGGATTCACACCAGATTATGAGTTATGCTTGTTTAACCAGGGAAACAATACCATATGATTTATATGGCTGATCACAGATAAACAGCTAATTTTATATTTCAAATAGCAAGTCATAGAAGGTGGTAAATGAAAGTCATAGAGTAAATGAAACTCACTAAAAGGTCATCAAATAATTTCAGTTAATAAATTCATTTGAGAAAAATCCATGAACAGGAGAAGGCAAAAACCCTCAAATCAGTCACAAGAAATTACGGCTTAGCTTTTGGTCAGAATAGGATTGTAATGCTGTTATATGTTTTGATATTTGTGACTAGTATGTCAGATTAATGAAATGGCCATGGGTGCTATACACATCTGTCTTTCTCTCCTTTTCCAGTTGAGAAAACATCTTTGTACCATACACTGCTAGTGAAGATACATTTCATGTTTATAAACTTAGACTTGCGGTCTTAATAATGTATGTATTTTCATTTAACAGGTTTGCCTGTTTGCCCTGAGCTAACCAGAGAACGTATCCCTAAAACCAGAGATGTGGGTCACTTTTTGTCTGTTACTGGAACTGTTATTCGTACCAGTCTAGTGAAAGTCCTGGAGTTTGAACGGGATTACATGTGTAACAAGTGCAAGCACGTTTTTGTGGTCAAAGCTGATTTTGAGCAGTACTATGCTTTCTTCCGTCCATCAACCTGCCCTAATGAAGAAGGCTGCAATTCATCTAAATTCACTTGTCTCTCAGGAACATCCTCTGTTCCCACCAGCTGCAGAGACTATCAAGAAATCAAAATTCAGGAACAGGTAAAAAAAAACTAGAGGGAAGAGGAGGAATAAAATAAATTAATCATGTGGAAAAATAAATTACTCTAGTAAAAGTACTATAGCCTTCGTTGCTAGTGTAAGCAAGTGCAACCCCAATAGAGCTATACCTGTTTATGCCAGTGATGAATTGTTCCCTTGTAACTAATAAAAGATTTGTTAACATCTACTGTAAGTGGAAAAGCTGTATAAACCCTTTACAGTTATTTAGAACAATTGCCCGGGTGAGAGGAAAGCTCCAGGATGCCTTTATCCTGCAATTCCAAAACTTCAAGCTAAAGAACTAGAAAAATGAATATCCACTGAAACACCCATACAAGTTTATTCCATTTGCTATATGACTATATTATTTGAAGTCATTTTTATGCATCATAAGAAATACTTACAGCCAATGCATGGATTAAATTAGGGTGTTCATAAATTAAGTACTAAGTGTGTGTAGTCCATCAGTTCGACGATGATGTTTTCATGCTCTCTCTTGTTGTGAATTCTGGAGTGACTCTGAAGTCCAAAAAGCAACAGAGGGTCCTGTGGCACCTTTAAGACTAACAGAAGCATTGGGAGCATAAGCTTTTGTGGGCAAGAAGTGAGGTTCTTGCCCATGGCATCTGAAGAAGTGAGGTTCTTGCCCATGAAAGCTTATGCTCCCAATGCTTCTGTTAGTCTTAAAGGTGCCACAGGACCCTCTGTTGCTTTTTACAGATTCAGACTAACACGGCTACCCCTCTGATATCTGAAGTCCAAAGCGTGACACGCATGCTCGTGAGCAGATCGGGCAGACAAAGTCATTGGTAAGCGTCTTGATAGCTTTAGCAGTAGTATGACGCTTTTCCCTTGCAGCTAACAATTGGTTATTTCTGTCCTCTTCAAAGGCTTGGAAAGCTCTGAGTGTTGTGTGCTGCCAGGCTGATCTATTTAAAGCAGCCTTCTTGAGATCATCCGGTTTTATTGCACCAAAGTGTATGCTCTTCTTGGTGCTGTCCTTGTAGTGCTTTCTGGGGCAGCCTTGATTCCAATGTCCTTGTGCTGATTCTCCATAGAAAATGTTTCTAGGGAATCGATACTCAGGCATCCTAATGATGTGTCCAACCCAACATGTTGGGCTTTTATCAGCATGGCCTCGATGCTTATGGCATTTTACTTTTGTAGAACCTCCAGGTTGGTAATTTTGTCCTTCAGTGGATCCCCATAATAGCACTCAAACACTGCATATGGAAGGCCTCTAGCTGTTTGATATGCCATTTGTATGGTGTCCAGGTCTCACAGCCGTAGAGGAGAGATGAGAGCACAAAAGCATTATAAAGTTTTATTTTTGTTGAGAGGGTTATGTTGTGGGATTTCAGGACTTCATTACGTAACTTTCCTAATGACTGAGAAGCTTTCTGTATCCTGTTCGTGATCTCTTTGTCAAGAGATCCATCATGGGAGATGTTGCTGCCAAGAGAGGTACAACTGTCAACTTGCTTTAGTTGCATTCCACTAATGGATATGCTAGGGGATATGGCACGGAATGGTGAAGATGATTGGTGCAACACCACATTTTTCTCCAGGTTAATTGTGAGGCCAAACAATTTTGATGCTTCAGCAAAGCAATCTATGATGCACTGGAGATTTCCCCCTGTGTGTGCTAGGAGGGCACAATCATCTACAAAGAGTGCTTCTCTTATTAGTAGTTCTGTTACTTTTGTTTTTGCTTTAAGCCTTGTAAGATTGAAGACTGAGCTGTTATGTCTGTATCTGATGTATATGCCTCTGTTGAGCCCATCTGTAGCATGGTTGAGAACTTGGGTGAAGAAGAGGTTGAACAATACAAGGGCAAGGATACAGCCTTGTTTGACTCCATATGTAATGGGAAAGGAGTCAGTGAGATCTCCATTAAAAAGTACCTGACCTTGCATCCCCTCAGGAAATAAACGAATGATCTTTACCTGTTTTGGTGGGCAACCAAGTTTGCTGAGGATAATCCATAATCCTTCTCTATTGACAGTATCAAATGCTTTTGTCAGATTGATGAAAACACTGAGCAGATTCATGTTTTGTTCAATACATTTTTCTTGTGTTTGCCTGATACTGAAAATCATGTCTATGGTGCTATGACCAGGTCTGAATCTGCACTGAGTCTCAGGTAGTTTGGCTTCTGAGACAGATGAAATCAGTTGGTTCAGGAGGACACGAGCAAAGATTTTTCCAGCAACAGATAGGAGAGAGCTCCCATGGTAGTTATCACAGACCACTTTGCTGCCTTTATTTTTAAATAAAGGAATAATTGTGGCATCTTTGAAGTCTTGTGGCATTTCTTCACTGTCCCAGATGTCAGTAAGGATCTTCTGGAGTGTTGTTACCACTTTGGACCCGCAGATTTATATATTTCTGCTGGTATTCCATCTCTGCCCGAGGACTTTCCTGAGCTCATCAAACTGATGGCCTTTTCTATTTCTTCAAGTGAGGGTGGTGAGTCAAGGTGGTGCTGAATAGGCTTTTGAAGTATCAGATTAATAGCACTTGTTTCAGTTGAGGATGGTCTGTTCAGTAGCCGGCTGAAATGTTCAGCCAATCTCTGTTCCATGCCATGTTTGTCTTTGATGACTGTCCTGCCATCAGCCATCATGAGCGAACCTGTGCCCACCTTTGAACGTCCATGGGATAGCTTCAAGGAATCAAAGAACGTCTTTGTTTCATTTGTTTCTGCATATATTTGAGTGTCTTCTGCTACCTTCTCCCACCATTTATCTTGTATCAAGCGTAGTTGTCTTTGTGCCTTGCTTTGCAAGTGTTTAAATCTGTCTCTCTTTGAGGAGGACTGAATATCATTTTGCCAGATTTGGAAAGCCTAATTTTTTTCTTTCAAGACTACTGTGATTTCCTCATCATTTTCATCAAACCAGTCATGGTAAGCCCTTTTCTTTCATCCAAGGACGTCAGTTGCAGGTTTTTGTACTGTCTCTCTATGAGACAGGGTTATCACCAAAGTTGGTTTCTAGTGAACTTTGTAACTTGTCTCGATAGGTTGCATAATTTAGTTTAACAAAATCAGGGGACGTATTGATTGTTTTGGGGCATTTCAGGCATGTGGGTACAATATTCAGTATAGATTCAGTATTGACCTAATCATTCTATGATCCATCCAACATTCTGCTCCATGCATGGCTCTGGTGATCCTGACGTCCCTTATGTCACATTGTTGGACAATGATGGGCTCTGTTAGATGCCATTGTTTGGATCTGGGGTGCATCCATGTAGTTTTATATTTGTCTGCCTGTCTGAAGATGGTATTTGTAATTGTCAGGCTATGTTCTGCACACTTGCTTAGGAGTAGGAGACCATTTTAGTTCATTTTTCCAAATCCATTTTCCACAATGACATCTTGCCAGTAGTTGTCATCATTACCTACTCTTACATTGAAATCCCCTAGGATGATTAGCTTGTCACTTTGTGGTGTTGACTTGATGAGAGAGTCAAGATCAGAGTAGAACCATTCCTTAGCATCATCAGGGCTTGTTAAGGTGGGCGCATATGCGCTGATGATGGTAGCAAATTGTGATTTATTTAGTGGTAACCGGAGTTTCATGAGTCTTTCGTTAATGCCTATTGGAAAGTCTTCAAGACATTGCAATAGTTTGGTCTTACTGGCAATTCCCACTCCATGGATTCTATCTTTGTGTGGTTCTTTTCCCTTCCAAAAGAAGGTGTAACCCCCAGCCGGTTCTGTAGTAATGCCCTCGTCTGCCAATCTAATTTCACGGAGCACTGCGATATCAATGTCATACCAGGCTAGCTCTTTGGAAAGGAGAGCTGTTCTCCTTTCAAACTGAGAGGTATCGTCTTTGTCTGTCACAGTCCTGATGTTCCAAGCAGCAATCTTTAGTGCTTTTTTAGTTATCTTTGGTTTTCGACTGCATTGGGGAAAATCTGCCAGCTGTGGTAAACTGGCCGGATTTAATTTGGGCAGGCAAATATTGAGGCACCTTTTCTATCCCCTTCTCTTACAAAGGGAGAGCAGTGCAATCCTAAAAAGGGCTGCTCTGTCACCTGGGCTGTTGCCAAGCTCCCCTGCTGCCCTTGGGTCAGGGATGGGCGACCAATGTCCCAGGCCGCCTGCATGCAGGCTTGTGGCTACGACTACCCAGTAATCATCTTAGCCTGTCACTTTGCCACTCCCCCGTCATCACAGGACTTTTGAAGAGAGATGTGCATGAATGATGTGTGCGTGAAGTTGATTAAAATGGGAGAGTGATTGCACTGGGACAATCCCATTCTCTTGGCTGCTGAAGCTTGGCCCAGTGGCACAAAGACTGTTACAACTGGAGGCTTCTTTAGCTGCAGTGGATAGCCATGACTTCTGTAGTGCCCCATCATGCCTTTCACCTTCCACAATATGTTGCTGCGTACTACAGTACTAAGTATATGTTGTCTATCTAAGGGCTTTGCTACACAAGGAGTTATTTCAGAATAGTTAATCCCCATTAACTCTTCTTGATTAACTCAATGTGTGTACCCTCTTATTCTGAATGAGAATACCTTATTCCAAATTAGTTTAATTCACATGGAGTTAATCTGAAATAGTTAATATACTTTAAATTCCTACCCTACCCTATAGTGGATTAATTTCCCTGTGTCAATAAACTCTAAACCAACTGTACATTTGTTTTATATGTGATCGTGATACTTGAGATGGCTCCCATGGAACCAATTTAGCCCAGTTATGGAAAATGCCGTCTCTATGGGTGCTGCTGCTCCAAGAGGAAATCTGCAAATATCTACCCCTGCCAGTCTGCAGTCACCTACACAAATGGTCACTGAACATTTTGTTGCCCAAGGCAACATGAGGTCATTTGTATGATAGTCAGCCCTGAGGGAGTGCCCGTGATTGTTGCTTAACTGGGGAAGTTATAACAAAAACTCAGTATAATGGGGACATACTTGGTCAGTGCCAAGTGGTTAAGAGGTGCTTAACCAAGTGAAAAATAGGTGAAAAATTCTAAGTTCTACAAAATTTAAAAAAAATAAATAAATTGTAGTTAATATTTCTATTGTATTTTTGTTGAGTACAGTAACGTATTCAGACTTCTTTTAAGCGGCCTCTTCTCTTAATTGGGATGATATGATGTCCAATTTAAGAGGGCTCTGAGATGTGTGTATGTATACATCATATATACAAAAATAGAACTGTGTGGAGTGAGAAATGAAAAATATTTTAACAAATTAAGGATAACCAATGACTGAAGAAGATAAAAGATTTCTGATAGCATGTTCCCTATGTTGCATATTCTCTTTATGCTTATTCCAGATTTTTAGTTTTTATTAGAACTTCAATTTTTTTTTTTACTGTGTCGCAAATATCTGCACTGTGGGACAGTTTCATCAGTAGTATGAACCTATTAACAGTAATGGAGTTACGTCATGGATTAATTTGACTCTGTATACGATCTGTCCTGTTCAGTGCTGCCAGTAACTAATGTATCTGCCACCAATACGGACAGAAATGTGAGTTGCCTGTAGAAATCAAGTAATAGACAAAAATGCAGAAACAATTTCTAGGCACTAGAGAATAAATTAACCTAAAATTCTAATATGGATGAGTATTTGCTACAAAAGAAGAAGGTACTTCAGATTACTATCATGTCTGCAGAGTACAATTTAACAATTACGGCAGGTTTTTGTTAGTAACTAGAAAAAAAGTGCTTTAGATGGAAATCGCCTGTGACAAGATTGCATAGACTTTGCCTTGGAGGAAAAGAAATACAACAATTACTGATGTACTTGTCAATACGTATTCTCCTGGTTGTGTTTGATTCGTTTTTCCCCTGCTGTTGGTTTAGTCTTTGGGATTTAAGTGTAAGCTTCTTTCCATCCCTGTCAAATCTTGATTAAATACCTGTAGTGCAGTGGCATCTTCCAATATGTACAGTTAAGAGGAACTGTTTAATTTTGAAGCAGGCATCAGTGCCTACAGTAAACTTTGTTTATTGAAATCATGCTTAAAGTAATTCACAGTTAATAACAAAAAAAGTTCATTTTTTTACAGTTACCTTATTTTTGTAAAGCTTTATCCAACAAGACATTGAAGTTGCTCAACATCTCCCAGAATACGGCCCCTAGAGATATTTTAAGGTCCAGTTCTGTTTCCCTTGATGTCAGTGGCAAGATTCCCCTGACTTAATGAGAGCAGCTGCATGCTCATTGTATGAGTTCTGTGAGAGAAATTAAGGAGAGCTACTCCTTTGCAGGGAAAGAAAGATAGGTCTTTGGTGTGCAGAATAATGGTTCTGTTGCAAACCACACTGGCATGGTTTGGCCAGTTTGTAAACCAGAGCAACAGCATGTGGTTGTTGGATGGCACCTGCTTGTAATGAATGCATACTCTTTTTCTTGCTGTCTACTAGGTTCAAAGGCTATCTGTCGGAAGCATCCCTCGTTCTATGGTAGTTGTCCTAGAAGATGACTTAGTGGACAGTTGCAAGTCAGGTGAGGGCAATGGAGTGTTCCCATGTAAAGTTATATATAGTTTCAGTTACACACCTTTGTACCTTGAGTGTTTTCAAGTTTATATTTCATTTGAAAGAAGGCATCTCCAATAATGCTGTCAGTTTTAAGGGCTTGTCTGATGGGAAACGCTTATGTGTCACTTTGTTATTGTGCTAACTCAGTGTGTTAACATGGCAAATTAATTCTGTTGCAGAAAAGACCATCCCCTTATGTGACATCATAACATTTTGACAGAAAAACATTGCTATGAAATATTTCATGGGCTCCAGAAGTTATTTTGAGACCTGTGAATGTCAGGATACTGAATCTCCATTACTAAACTGGTACAGCCCCAAAGACCTTGAGACTGGTGACAGTACTAACAGTTTAGTGTCCCTTTGGTGGTTTGGGAAACCATGTATCATAGCTTCCTGTCGAAGAAGGATTGCAGGTAGAAACATCAGCTTAGTGTGCAGTGACTGTCAAAAAAGCAAACAAACCATTAGAATGTACGAAGAATGGGATAGAAAATAATATTCAGAATGTTATAAGTCCATTTTATAAATGGATAGTACCCCCTCCCCAGCAATACCGTGTTCACTACTGATCACCGACTCTCAAAATGATACAGAGGTCAAGGTTTACCTAAGCAGCACTGGGCGCTGTTGTAGAAAGGAAACAAGACTAGATGGTATAATCCAATATAGCAGCTTCTATGTAATTGGCCAAGACTGATCCAATATAGCAGCAAATAAGAATGACGTGGGGAAAGGGAGAGCGCACAGAGCCCCTGGTGTGGGAGAATGGGGGATCCTGGAATGAGGACAAAACACAGACTCCCTGGGATATAGGGAATAGGGCACAATGGTATGGGGGGAGAGGGACATGAGGAACACACGAGTCCCTTGGCATGTGGTGGATAGGAAATGGGAGGCACACAGAAACTCTGGCGGGGGGAAGAATGGAGGACCCTGATATGGAGGGGAGGCACACAATGTGGCATGGGGGAGAGAATGGAGGACAATGGTATGGGAAAAGGAATGCACACACATTGCTGCTGGCATGGAGTAGGGGGTTGGAGGAAGTCCCTGAAATAGAGAGGGATGTGGGAGGGTGGCACACCTGGAGCTTATGTGGGGGAATGGAGGGAATGCATGGAGCCCCTGATGTGTCCAATGCATTCAACCTACAGAAACAGCAAAGTGTTGTATAGAGTTATGGCAACTTCTTAACAAAACAAATAGCATAATGCACAGAGTTCCACTTGTGATTTAGATGTCTGTATCAAAACAAAAGAGCAAGTGGAAGTTTTAGTATTTACAACAATAGAGATTTTTGACTAATTGTATCTGCAAATCAAAAGGCATGACAAGAATACAAAAAAAAATAGATATGGAATTATTTAGTAAAACTATCAGATGGTCCAGTTTTAGGTTTAATAAGCCCCAGTGAAAAGTTTCTATGAAATATTGCAGCGTTTTTATGAATGCATGAAACCTGAAAGTGAAATTGACTATAAATAAACCTTAGACTCTAAGTAGTCTTATTTTCACTGACTGAAGCAATAGAGATGAAACAAGTAAATAAAGAGCATTATAGTAAAAGTAAATAATATACTTTTTAGATATCACTGTTGCTTGTTAAATAGTTAAGGAATTTTTAAAGTAAGTTTTTGAACCTGATAGTTTTTCTTTATAACTCTTAAGACAGGTTATATTCATTTCTTTTGTTTGTTTTGGATTCACAATTTAAAAAAAAAAGATTACAAAATATTAGTCCCAGCTTTTATTCATAGATATAAAAAAGGCTACATGATGTTGCCTATTTTAGAGATGCAGTAATTAGAGTAAATTCTTTTTTCAAGCAATATCTGCTCTACAAAGGCCTAAACTGCCCTATTATGTTTAATTTAGCTGTTAATTTATGTATCTGCATATACTGAGCAGGATGTTACGGTGACTAATTTTGTCCTTACTCACAGGTGATGACATCACAGTGTATGGAGTGGTAATGCAGAGATGGAAACCCTTCCACCAGGATGTGCGCTGTGACCTAGAGATTGTTTTGAAAGCCAATTACATTCAAGTGAACAATGAACAACTGACAGGGGTTATAGTTGATGAGGAGGTTCAGAAGGAATTTGAAGACTTCTGGGAAAAACATAAGCGTGATCCCTTAGCAGGTTTGTAGATGAAAGTGAAAACAGGAACGACGCTTGGATTTTTGCTGGAGACAACACTGAAAATTATATTATTTACAACGTTTTTCCTTCATTCCTTCATCCCACACTCCTCCTTCGAAGCTATTGGCCCAGTTGTAGTGCACCTTCAGATCCCATTCACTTCAGGGGTGTTGTGCACTCAGCTCTCCTGCTGCTCAGGCCATGTCTCAGTCTGTCAGAGCTTGTCTCAGGCAAACAGGACAAACCTCCAAGAACTTCATTTTAAAACTGTGTATAGCATTTGTTTGTGTGCTTGTTTGTCTTGTCATGGCAGTTTAAGGACTAATTTCTTGCTACACAAAATTTCCAACAAAGGAATATAAAATTCTTACTTGAAACTAACTTAAAAAATAGGACACACTGTACTTTCATGATTTTTCTTTTGAGCCTTATGCAACTGTAGTTGCCAAAATGTTTTATATAGCACTTAACAGGGAGTGAGCCTGAGTCAGAAATGGTAAGAATATTAGAAAAAACACAATGCTGTTATGTGCAACAAGACAAAAAACACAATAGGTCAGTTGCAGCACTGTGAAGCGATCGTTTGGGTCAGATCTGGTTTGGTCAGCATTGCTCTGTTGACTATGCTAATAGCTTAAAAATATGGCTCTGTGTCTCTGTACCTAATACTTCTGTGAATCAAGATTTATTTATGTATTTATAACAAGTCACACACCTGCGTAATGTTAAAACCAATCTGTTTCTATAACACGTTTACATATTAAAAACACCTTTAATACTTAAACTACAGTTCTTTATACAAGGTCTGTCCTGCTGGCATCTTCATAAGAGAAGCAAGATATAACTAGTCTTTGAGGGAAAACTTCATAGTCAAATAAATAAGCACACCAGGTGGCAAACACATTAGGCAATCGTGTGCTGTCTTCTTCATGGCCACATACACATTACCTCACAGGAATGCGAACTCTTTCATAAAATGTTATTTTTTTCTCCCTAGTATTGTGGAGTGGTTTTTGGTTGTTCATTTTTGTTTTAAATTTGAGCAGCTATGGTTAACTGATGATCTGTATTGTATAAACTCTAACCAGCTACCAGATGTTTTATATGTTCTTCGTTTACACAGAGAGCCTGGTTTGCCATTGTGTTACAGTAACTCCTCACTTAAAGTCGTCCCGAATATTGTTTCGTTGTTATGTTGCTGATCAGTTAGGGAACATGCTCGTTTAAAGTTGTGTAATGCTCCCTTCTAACGTTGTTTGGCAGCCGCCTGCTTTGTCTACTGCTTGCAGGAAGAGCAGCCCATTGCAGCTAGCTGGTGGGGGCTTGGAACCAGGGTGGACCGGCAGCCCCCTGTCAGCTCCCCCTATCAGCTCCCCGCTCCCCTAAGCTCCCTGTGCAGCAGCTGCCTGCAGTTCAGCTGTGTCCCTCCCCCCACTGCCATATGCTGCTCCTGCCCTCTGCCTTGGAGCTGCTTCCCGAGACTCCTGCTTGCTGTGTGGTGGGCAGGGAAGGAAGAGGGGGGCTAATGTCAGGGTGTCCCCCTCCCCCCTGCTCCTGCACCCCGCTTAGCCCATCTTCCATAGAGCAGTGGGGACAGACCAGGACTCAGGATGGAGGGAGCTTGCAGCAGCTGCCTATCAGCAAGCTGATCTAATTAACAAGGCAGTGTATTTAAGGGAAATGCGCATATCTCCCTCCATTCCTGCTGCCTTGTGTAGAGAGAGAGTTAACCCTTGAGGGCTCAGCCAATTGCTAGTTCATCATTTAGCAGAAAGGGAAATATCCCACCCTCTGACTCCTCCACCTCAACCAAGCTTCACAATCATCATCACTGTGTACCGGTATTAAATATTAAATTGTTTGTTTAAAACTTATACTGTGTGTGTGAGTGTGTGTGTGTGTGTGTGTGTGTGTGTGTATTATATATATATATATATATATAAAATATAGTCTTTTGTCTGGTGAAAAAAAATTTCCCTGGAACCTAACCCCCTCATTTACATTAATTCTTATGGGGAAATTGGATTCGCTTAACATCGTTTCGCTTAAAGTAACATTTTTCAGGAACATAACTACAACGTTAAGTGAGGAGTTACGGTACTTTGGATTTACATTGGGGTTATGCTGGCATAAAACTGGAGTAATGCAGTGGTGAATCATGCCCTGCATCTTAACCATGCTGCACAACCCATAGGTATAGCACATCACATCTTACCCAAAGAAGGCCCCACCCTAGCCTTAATATGCTTACCTTCTACCTTTGTAATGGTAAATCCATTAATCTAACACACCATGTCTTCACACACTTACTTCCACGTATAAAACATCCATTTTAGGGATTCACAGCACTTCCTTTTTTTTAAGGTTGGTTGCTCAGCTCTGTGTGCTAACAGTGAAGGGTAATATATAGTCCCAGAATCCTGATCTCTGATGTGCTGCTAGTGTCAGTGCTTCAGAGGGCAGAATTAATTGTATTACATCTCTCTTCACTGCCAGCAAAATCAGCTGAACAGATTGGAACATTTCAGTTCTTGAGAGATTATATGGACGGTGAGGGAGAGACTGCATAGAAAAGGGTGAGGAGATAGGGAGATTCAGTAAAATAAAAATAGAGGAGAGAGATGAGCCAATTTTCTGCATCATGTACAGTACAATATATCTTGGCATTAAACATTGTGGTTTTTTTAAGTCAGTGGAGCTATGCCAAATTACACCAGCTGTGTATCTAGCTCTCTGGTTCCTATCTGCACACAATGTACTAGCATTCAAGAGGATAAACTGAGGGGCTATAAGAACTTGGCCTCTGTGGTTTCATCTGTGAACTAAAGTATTCAGTCTCAGGACTTCGTACTGGTGCCCAGCACCCAAGTATCCGAGTGCCTTCCACCTTAAACTGGCATAGCAAGGTCCTTATATTGATTTACATCAACTGAGGATCTGTTCTGATGGCGTTTAGTCTTTAAAGTGAAGGATGGGTCTAACAGCTGCTTTGGGGGTTTGCCTGAGGAGAGTGTGTTAACCTACATCAGATTTGACTTTAAAACAGTGCTTAATGCTGCTTTTCACTTCTTTTCTAGGGAGGAATGAAATTTTGGCTAGCTTGTGTCCCCAGGTTTTTGGATTGTATCTGGTGAAGTTGGCTGTAGCCATGGTGCTTGCTGGGGGTGTACAAAGGGCTGATGCTGCAGGAACTCGAGTGAGAGGTTAGTATTCTTGTTTCTAATAGTACATTTCTTCCCTCCATACATACAAACATTCAAAATGAATATTAGAGCAAATAAAGCTGCAGAAACATAATCGTTCTGAGTGAGAATGTTGTTTAATCAGCACTTGGATTTCCTATTTTTAGTTTTACTTTTTTATTTCGTTTTTCCAAAATAACTTGAATGATAGAAACCAGTTTTCAATGCCCCATTGAATAAAGTATTAAAAGCAATTGTTTTAGGAAAACAGAGGCTCAGATAAAAAGTAGTTTTATAAATGACATTTTAAAATGATTTTGTAGTAGCACATCCCTAATGGTATTTGGCGTCAGAGTGGAATATTAATATTTCCGTAGTGTGAATCTCTATCCTGCGTTGAAGGGAAAAAAATAAGATTCACTCCACTTCCTAATGCCAGATTTTTCCATCTGTGATTGTCAGCATGTTTCTCTTAAAACTGTTACTGTAAGCTATTTGCCTGCTGAGTCTCCTTCTGTTGTTATTAGATGGCAAATGTGCCAGGTGGTATGTAGGTCAGAGACTATGTAGTCTAAAATAATGTGTGTATATACAAGTATGGAATATATGTTTTTTAAAAATGCTATAGCAGCCAAATCAAGTCATATAGATCCTTAAAGTGAAGTCATTTTGTTTATATATTTAAATCATTTTAGAACTCTTTGATGAGGTACTTAATAACCAAAATATTTACTTTTGTAATTGCTTTGTATTTGGAAATTACTAAACTTCATGATTATTCGACTTATAACAAAATATTTTCAATTATTATCTAATAAGAAAAAAGGCTGACTTTATTGCTTATTTGTACAATAATTAAAGTACACCTCTACCCCGATATAACGCGACTCGATATAACACGAATTTGGATGTAACGCGGTAAAGCAGTGCTCCGGGGGCGGCGGGGCTGCGCACTCCGGCGGATCAAAGCAAGTTCAATATAACGCGGTTTCACCTATAACGTGGTAAGATTTTTTGGCTCCCGAGGACAGCGTTATATCGAGGTAGAGGTGTAGTTAAATATTGGGATCATAACTAAGCAGTGGTTCCGATTCCCTTCATTACTCAAGGTGGGAGTGAAAAATTTACCATAGCTGGCATCTGCAAAACAAGTCTATTAAAATATGAAAACTAGTAACTGGATGACCCTATCAGGCTGGCTATGTGATTATTTTAAAGAATCTTTTATGATGAGAATTGAGTTTGAACGCTGCAATATGATTAGGTACTACTTTTGAATTATACAGTTTTATCACGTCTGAGTGATGTTAGATATGACATTACACCTGAATTATTTATTGTATCATATGTTAAGAGGTAAATTTTATATGAAGAATTACATTTATTATTTTAGTTAAAAACTTCTCTGTCTTGTCTGTCTTTATAAATGTAGTAGTCAGAATGCCACCCAGGCAATCTCAAGCTCTGTGTATTTATTTTTTCCAAAGGTGAATCACATCTTCTGTTGGTTGGAGATCCTGGCACAGGGAAATCTCAGTTTCTCAAATATGCGGTAAAGATTACACCACGATCTGTGCTTACTGCAGGAATTGGATCTACAAGTGCAGGTATCTGATGTTCCAGGCTGGCCAAGCAGGGTGTGCTCTTAATTTTTATTACACTTTATCTGGGATTCTGCATCTAAGCAGAGAGGGGTTTTATGTGTGAGAAGTGATATAAGCTACTCTTGATTGTATTAATATAGTCTCTAGACTGGGAATACATCAGCCCTGTAGCCATTTCTCCTGTGGTGGGGACAAACTTGCTTCACCCCGGCCCCTCTAGTGGGATGGTGTGGTAGGATCTCTGTCAGGGGATCCTCATGGAGCCTCCCCCAAAGGATCATCCTACTGTTGTTGCTTTTTGGTTGTTGTTGTTTTTCCCCCTGCAGAAAATTGTTTGGGCCTATATTTTTTCTTTTTCTGGCTTTTTCGATTCCTCCAGAATGAGTACACACTGTGTGGCTGTTACATGCAGAAGGATCATTCTCTTTCTGCTTAACAGAGACTCCTTTTTCTCTTCCTCTCCATGTTTTGGGTGGATGGCAGGTTGAGAGTCAGTTCCCTGCTGTAAGGCACTGCCTTGTGCTGCTGAAGCCTTATCTCGACTCTGGCCCATAAAGAAACATCTGAAGAGCAAGTTTTTTTCCCCTTAGTATGCCCCAGATGTACCAAATGCCAGGGGTTGTTAAGAACTCTTCCTGAGGGACAGTACAAAGCCTCAAGTCCTTCTCCCACCCTTGCAAATTACTCAGTTTGAACAAAGTGCTGTACAATCAATATATGCAGGAATCTGTATATACCTCAGGAGTAAAGGACAAAGGATTTCAACTAGTGCGTTTAATAGAAATGTGTTTCTCGGATAGTGTTGCTCTTCTTCCATTTCTACGACTGGGAAACAGCACTGTGTTTAAATGGGAAGAACAAAAGAATATCTTTTCCTAGTCCCTTAGCCCTGTCCATCATGTGTGTACGACCTACGTACAGAGGATTTGTCATTAAATACTATTACTCCTGACTTTAAAATCAAAATGTTTGCAAGCCTGTCTGCAGAGGAGCCACAAGCATGTTCATGCTCAGGATCACCTTGAATACATCCATCAATATTAAGAACAGAACAAGCTGTACTTTGGGCTCGTTCATGTTTCCTCAGGGGATTGGTGTCTCACAGATAGTGACCTGGACTAAAAACCTTGCAATAATTCTTACATTATTGCACCCACCTTCGGTAGTAATGATTAAGGCTGCGATTTAGTCACGGAGGTCACAGAATCCATGACTTCCAAAGACCTCTGTGACTTCAGCCAGCACCAGCTGGGAGCTGCAGGGTCCCCGCCAGGCAGACCCCCCACAGCTCCCGGCCTCCGCAGGTGGCAGGGGGGACCCCTGGAGCTCCGGGCGCAAGGGAACCCCTGAAGCTCAGAGCTGCCAGTGGAGGGGGACCCTGGAGCTCCCAGCCCTCAGAGGTGGTGGGGGCCCCTGGAGCTCCCAGCCCGCCCGCAGCTGCCCAGGCTCCCCATTTTGCAATGGATATTTTTAGTAAAAGTCAGGGACAGGTCACGGGCTTCTGTGAATTTTTTTCTGTGACTTTTACTAAAAATATCTGTGACAAAATCTTAGCCTTAGTAATGATCTCCCTAAGCCAGCCAAGTTCTTGTACCTCTGCTTTGCCTTGATCTTCCAGAGCTCTCACTTTCATTTCCTGCTCCACATGAGATGGCTTCCCAAAGGGTACTGAACACATGATCACCAAGGATGGCTGGAGCTGGGAGTCACTGTAGCATAAATGGGGACATCACACTTGTGATGCAACACAACAAGCTGTCCTAGTGTGTAGCGATAGAGCTCTCTGTGGGTTTCCAGCTCATTCCTTGCAGGGGGGGGGGGTCTCCAAAATCCTAAAATTGCCTTTGGCTCTACATCAGTGAGGCTTTTAAAAAGAAAGGAAACCCCATGCCCCCCAAATTCCACTGCAGGTACATCACTTTTCCAACTTTAAACTCTTATGGTAAGGCCCATTACCATAAGAGATAATCAGGCTCACATCTGGCTGACTGTGCAAATTACATCTACATTCACTTCAAAATCCCTTTACACTGCCAGTGTGGTGTAAAGGCTCCTTAGTGTAATTGACAATAAGACTCTTGTAACACTGCTGAATAATAGAATTACTGAATGAAGTTCCTTCAAACTTTCTTTGGATCTTAGAAGCAATTTACTTAGAAAAATATTATCCCAAAAGCAATTTATTTAAAAAAAACCACACATTTATTGAGCTGTCCAAGTGTAACTTCCAAATGGAGTGTATGAGGTAAAACTTGGTTTTGCTTTTGGAATTTTATGTTCAAATAGCTCAACTGATTTTGCTGGAACTTGTCAGGAAAAAAATCACCTTTGTAATAAGATCAAGCATTAAAAATGCTGTTCCTAAAGGACATGTCTGAGAGACGTGTACGGTTAAACTGAGGGAGTATAAAATTGAAATTGGTACTTTCCTTAACCATAATATATGATATGATAATTAAGCAATGTGCAGCCAGTATTTTAAAAATGGGTCTCCTCAAAAAAACTTGCCCTCTGCCTTGGGTAAACCCTGGGTATTAGAGAGAAAGGGGGGTAAAATGGGGATTCTATTAATTTAAATACAATGCAGATGCTTTCCAGAAGGCAAAGAGAAAGTATTGGAAGAGTGCTTCCTGAATCAGAAAGAGGGGCATGCACCTTTTGCTTTCTCTTGATTAATGGTGAATTCTACAGCGGGCTAAGCAAAATAAGGAAAGATGTTTGCTAAGTGGCTCCTTGGAGAAGGGGCCTCATCTATGTTTTTCTGGCAGCATATCTATTAAGATATTTAGTGGGCTAACAATGATGTGAAGTCAAGCATGTCATTGAGACCTTGATCTTTAGCCTTCAGTTTGACTGGCTGAGGACTTGGAATGAGTACTTTTTTTGGCCACAGTGTTTTCTTTTTTTAAGTTCATTGTTTTTAGACTATTTATACTTTTCTCCCTAAAACATTGACTTTATGAACTAATTTTTTATGCAGCCACTCAAACAGATGCTCAGAATGATAACGTTTTGAGAGTTATTAAATCATGTTGCTTTCCTTGATAATTATTTTACATGTTTTAGATTATCCAGTTCCTGTTTTGTATGAAGAAATAATTTCTAATTTGCAGTTTTTTTCCCAAGGTAGAAAGACCTAATCCATGAATCCTATATTAAAAAGTAGTTGGTCACAATATCAAAAATGTGAGTCTCAATAAAAATTTATCAATTGCTGACTGTTCATTGTAGGATTGAGAAATACTGCAGGGCAGTTACATAGGTAGCTAAAGGGTTTTCTATATGGTTACCACCTATTATTGTAATATTCAAGAGCTGCCCGAGAAAATGGTGAGCTTGCTACTGGAGCAGTCAGTCTTCAGCTCTTTTCCACTCTCTGGGAGAGGATGCTTTGTTTTGGATATCCATGCATTTTGTTTGTTTGTGGTCTCTTCTTCCACCTTTAATCTGCGGGTTGTGGGAAAACATGGTCATAGAATTGGTCTGACTTCTTCTGGAAACTCGTTCAACAGCTGTTGCCCCATGTGTCAGAATGATAGGTCCCCAGACTCTCTCATGCTTTATGCAAAAAGAACAGGAGTACTTGTGGCACCTTAGAGACTAACAAATTTATTTGCTACTCTGAAACCTGTCATCATGCTTTATGGGATTTTGAGGTGTGTTGTTCTAGAGAAGAGTGTTGTCTGAGTGGGTCATGAATGCAGATGTGGTAGCTAATGTAATTGGTCTTGATCTATTGATGACCTTGAAGATCAGGATTAAGGTCTTGAATTATTAATGGAAGTGGACTAGGTTGGATTACAACAGCCTGTCACAATGGGGGTGTGAGTAACCATATTACATATGATTTGGGGCCTCTACCTTCCTGCCACCTTCAGACTCAGATACAGTGAGTTGTAGTAATTCAGTTCGGAGATGACAAATGTATGGCTCACTGTGACTATATCCTTACTTAGGAGAGAGGGACAAAGCTTCCTAGCAAACAGGAAGGTGAAAGAAGGCATTTTACATCAGTAATGCTACCTTGTCTTCTAAGACAACTCCTCTTAATACAAGAATCTCTATCCGGGATATGACATCGTTGTAATGGGGATTTGCTTCATCTGGGAAAGGAAATGCACAGCAAGGTGTCATCGGTTTATTTTTGACAAAGGTCCCATGTAGATATTGAGAAGGGAGGGGATGTAGAATAGATCCCTCTGGGAATCCACAGATGAGCGGTAGTGGTGGGAAGAGCAGCTCATCCCCTTATCACTCTTTTGGTCCTGACATTGTAGTGCTGCATTGTCTACTCAAGCTATGTCATGTACAGGCAGTCCTCAGACTTACGACACAACTGGTTCCTGAAAATTGCGTCGTAAGTCGAAATGTTGTAACTCGGAACCACAATCCACTCCATTGCGCGACCAAGTGTCGTAAAGTCTAAACCAACTGTTGTAAGTCGAATCAGGGTGTCAATTCAGAAACGTCGTAAGTCGAACATCATAAAGTCGAAGACTGCCTGTATCAAGTTAGCTGTAATGAAAGTTTCAGAGAGGTCAGGTAGTATGAGCACAGAGAGAGCCTCTATCCATTGCCACATTGTTTAGTGCCACTAAGGATGTCTCTGCACTGTGCCTTGGCCTTGAAAATCAGTTGTGAAGAATCCACGATGTTGGCAAGTGCTATGTGATGTTGGAGTTTGGGTTCTGAATGATTTTGCCTCAGAGTGTGAGATTGGAGGGGTGACCTGTGTCACATGTTTGTGTCTGGATGATCAGGCAGTCTATTGTATTGTTCAGGAAGAAAGGAAAAGTTACTTCTCTGAAGGAGATTTTGAGAAGCTGTTAGTAGTAGACATAATTTCTCTTCTCTTTCACTGTACATGAATTTGTTTTGCATATGGTGTTCCACTATTCGTAATGGATAGTAGTATGTAATGGGGCCAAATTCTGTCAGGGCAGCGGGGTGATTAATGCCATCCAGTCCGTCTTCAAGTGTACGGCCTCAGTGAGTTCCTCCTA